TCCCCTTCCGCCTCTTGCATTCCTTGGGTTCCTCTGGGGATCTGGTGTTGGTGCTGCGTCACCAGCTTCCTCTTTGGGGTTTTCCGGGTTCCGTGCCTTGGCACCTCCCCGAGCCTTCGCTCGATGTGTTCACGGACGGGTCGTCTCTCGGCTGGGGCTTTGTGACCAGTGCTCACCAGGTCGGCCGAGGTTGATGGAGTCTGTCTGTCCGTCGGGCTCACAGCCCGGTTCAGGTGTTCATGGCTGTCTGGTTTGCGCTTCGGAGGGTTTGGGTCACTAGGTACTCTACCATTCAGCTCTGTTTGGACTGTTCTCTGGTGGTTCTTGCCGGAACCACAGGGGGTTTGGTTAACCGTGTGGTTCGTGTCCGGGGTGTGTCCTGCGTCCTGGTGGACAGCTGTCTCGGTTCATTCCTCTTCGTGGGTTGGCCAGTCGTCGCCGATTCGTTTTGTTGGCTCTGTTGGGCTTATGGACTCCTGGCCATGGACGTCTTCGGGTCGGCGTGGTCTAGGCGTCGCCTGTTTTGTGGCGCCCTTCCCACCTGCGAGGACTTCACGGTGGAGGCTTTCGGCAGGCCTGGTCGAGGTGGGGGGTACCTGTCCCTCTTCTCCCGGTCCAGCTGTTGCTTCGGGTTCTGGCTCAGTTGCAGCCCATTCCCACGAGAACAGTCCTTATGGTTCCATGGTGGCCGGCCCGGCCTTCTTTTCAGACGCTGCTTGATAGGTGTCCGTACCCGGGGCGTTTTTCCTGAGGCTTCGCCTCTTTCAGCAGGCCGAATCGGTCCTGTCCGTGACTGGTTCGGCCTTCTCTTTGGCTCTTCGCGTCTGGTATTTTGACGCAGGTATCACCATCTCTATGGTGTTCTGGTGGCTTTGTTGACGGTGTCCCACCTGCGAGCTTCGTCTTGGAGACAGTATGACGTTTATTACGTTTTCTCGCGTTTTGTTTCCCCTACGGCCTGCTCATGAGTCGCCTGAGCCATCCTGGTCCTTGTTCAGGGTGCCTTCTTATCTTCCCCTCAGTTTGTGGTAGCCCCTTCGGTTTCAGTTTCCTCCTCTTTGGTACTGGTGGTAGCTTTATTGGTGTGCAGCCTTTCTCTGTCCTGGCGACGGTCGAGACGGCTGCTTTCCGGAGGGGTTCTTGGGGTATTGGTACTTGTTTGGTTTGGCCGGGGGGTGCGTCCTGAGTTGTCCGGTTGTGCTTTTTGCTGTTGCCGGTGTACCATGCCTGGGGATGCACTGTGGTTGATCCGGTTCCTTCGTTCCCTGTTTTCAGGGCTCGGGTCTCCCAGGTCGTCCGCAGTGTTTTCCTTCTTCCTGCGGTCTGTCTTTGCGGCCGTGCTGTTCAGACGTTTGCAGCATTTGCTGCTGTGTTGGTGACGTCTCGGGCTCGTTTCGGGCGCAGGGATTTGTGGGTCGCACAGGTTTTTGGCCGCCCATCCATATGTGCGTCTGTTCTTGGGCGTTCTTGTTGCCTTGGGTCGCAGGTTTGCGACCGGTTGTCTTGGCTTTGCGTTGCAGAGTTTGTGGCGACCGCCTCCCGGGTTAGCCCTTTCTTTTCCTTCTCTTTGGGTATGAAGCTCCAGGGAGCCGTAGGGGCTCCCCACAGAAAACCAGCGTTGAATGTAATGAAACGCCATTTTCTGGGTGAGCCCCGGAGGCTCCCTGGAAACCCCCCTCCCACCGGTCGGCGGTTTTTTCGCGTTGGTTGAAGCTTAGCTTCCGAACTGGAGCTTGGCAGCCGGCGCGGTAGGTCCGGGGCTCCCCCCTCCCCCTCCCGGGGTGGGGAGGGCTGCGCGGACGATCGGCGCGGCAGTAAAGTGTGATGTTTGCTTGTTTGCTTGTTTCCTTGGGATTGTAGGGAGTTTTCTACCTCTCTGTTAGGTTTTTGTTGTAGTTTCTTACCATGTGGGGTTTGTTTTGTTACGCCTACCTTTCTGGGTGCCTAACCCCGGTCGATGGCAGATAAGGAAAACCCCCAACCATATGGGGTTTTCCAGGGCCATTGCTCCCTGAAACCTCTCTGAAGGGGCCAGGTTCTGGCGCTGGTCCCTGGTAGGTCTGAACTCCTTAGCTAATGTCCCGGTCTAACATAACATACATTAGCCCGATAAGCTCCAGGGAGCCTCCGGGGCTCACCCAGAAAATGGCGTTTCATTACTGTACATTCAACGCTGGTTTTTTGCCAGACTTCCCCACCCTATTGTGGCCAAAATATGCCACCTTCGATTTATTTTGTTATTTTTCCCGTGATCAGGGAACACAAATGAACACTTTTATAAGACGAAAGAATTTTTTGGGATTGTTTTTTTTTTTTTTTTTTGCGCCTGTTGGTGTTGAAGGTAAAAATACCCTTAGCGGTCTAAAGGTTAAAGGGCCAGAGTCACATTGATTTTTTTCAGTAATATTCAGAAACAGCTGAGCCTTATGAAACTTTATGTACGAAATTTGACCTATAAGATGAATCTCCAACTCACATTTCAGCATTGAAACCCAAAAGGAAATGAAAAACTAAAAATCCAAAAAATGGCAACTTTAACAATTCTATTATAGTATCTATTACTGATTTTTTAAATACTGAATTTAACTAGTTGAAATATTCTAAAGTAATATAATGTGTCCTTGCTTGAACGAGCTATATGAGGCGAGGCCAATTTGTTCCACCGCGGAATTCGTTCTACCCTTCAGCCCCAGGCTATCTCTCCCCTCAATGTGAAAAGAACAGAGGTCCTATGTACTCTATACACAACAAACAATCACAAAAAATCTATTTGTTAAGTATTTATTATTTTGAACTTGACACATGATCGAATAATCATTGGTGAACAATGCCATATCAAAATCATAACTATGTGATTATTATTGGTGTCTGCAAATATGATGTAATGGCCAGAATTTCAGTAAGTCAACTGTATCAGTCTTGATATAAGTATTCAGAAAAAATCTATTTATTATAAATTTTTCCTTTTCACTATGTCATTTGTTAGAGCAATCACTTACAATTTTGTATAAAAATACTTCATATATATGAATTATTTAATCCAGTCAAGCAAAATCACATAATTTTCTCAACAAACTGATGAGAGGAGTGGGTTGTTAGTGGTCCACCGGTGGTCCGAGGGTGGGGGTGGCCGGCCTCTGATGGTCAGGTAGAGGGGGTGTTGTAGGGGGTCGTCAATAGGGAAAGAACCAGAGTGGACTTGGCGCTGTCAGGGAAGTCAGTGTCAGGTGATGTCAGGCTTGACTCTCACATGTTTCTGGGAGTAGAAGAACTCCCAGAACCCCATCAAGCAGGTATCAAGCAGGCAGGCCTCAGGCCAGACGAAGTCAGGCATACACTGTTAGTTTGAATGTGTCTGCCAACAATCCTAGCCTCACTGCAGGCTTTTAGTATCATGACATTATTTCATATCAACAATTACATACTCAGATACATCCAGTAAATAATAAAATATAATAAATAAGTTTATTAATATGAATAAGGATTATACAAAGTAATGTACATAGAAGTACAGTATTAATGATTATAAATGTTGACTGGGTAGAGGCTAGCACTTCCCCATTCCTCCCCCCCCCCCCCAATAAAATCCCCCTCACCACTGACTTCTCCCTTTATTATGAATTCTTAATTTTGACTACAAAATGTGATAGAGCAATGTGTTACAAACAAGCAAAATGGTAAAATTTTCTCTCTACTAATTTGGTGAAAAGCAGCGATTGAGTGAAAGATTGAGGCAGCAACAGTGCCAGCCACATGTTGCCAGTCAGCTGATCACACAGGCCAGAGCAGCCTTGTGCTGGATACCACTAATGCAACCTGCCTCTCCTGACAACCTCTACCACTGACACCACCTGCCTTCCCCTGTCACCACTATCACCACCTGCCTACCCTGACAACTTCCACCACTGACACTACCTGCCTTCCTGGACACCATTAACACTACCTGCCTACCCTGACAACTTCCACCACCACTGACATCACATGCTTCCTGACATCTCCCACCACTGACACCACCTGCCTTTCTTGACAACTTCCACCATGGCCTTCCCTGACAACTTCCACCACTGTCACCACCTGCCTTCCCTGACCACTGACACCACCTTTCAGTGCTTTAGTGTCACTAGTGCTTTAGTGAATTTGAGGATAGGACTAGAAGAAGAATGCAAAGCTGATGATGGGTGCACATGGGCATCAAGTGCCAATAGAGCAAAATGTGCAACTCTCAACAATGCTAGATGGCCTCAATGTGTAAAGAATGACTGAATGTATTAAATGTATATGTGTATGGCGGTCTATGTATGGTGTATGTATGGCGGGTGCCGGTCGGCCAAGTGGACAGCACGCGGGACTTGTGATCCTGTGGTTCTGGGTTCGATCCCAGGAGCCGGCGAGAAACAATGGGCAGAGTTTCTTTCACCCTATGCCCCTGTTACCTAGCAGTAAAATAGGTACCTGGGTGTTAGTCAGCTGTCACGGGCTGCTTCCTGGGGGTAGAGGCCTGGTCAAGGACCAAGCCGCGGGGACACTAAAAAGCCCCGAAATCATCTCAAGATAACCTCAAGATGGCAGGTTTGGATGAGCATAATGTAGTTAGTGTTATAAAGTAGTAATGTGGTGTTTATGGATGATTGACTGGCATTTGGTGGTACTGATTCTCTGTAATACATTGTATAGTGTACTGTAGTGCAGGAATTTGGCGAAATATATTATTCATATTATAATATATACAATGTCCAATCATAGGGGCAGTATAGTATATAGAAACTAGAGGTTGAATCTTCAAAAGTTGCTTATTGGACCTTTCTAGCATTTTTTAAGTGAGGTTTATCCACGCTCGAGCTTATTATTTGCTTAAATTTTTGTGACTTGGTATGAAAATTTAAATTTTTTCATGTGTGAATACAGTAAGTTTAATATTTACCCACTAGCAGTCTGAAGACATTTAATACCCCTAGTAATATCGTTTACAGTAGTTTATCATAATTTGTCTTGATTTTCAGAGTATGCTTGGTGTCCATGCATCAGCTCAGGCTATCATTCATTTTGGTAAAATTGCTCGTAAGCACAACCTTAGCAATGTGTGTCTGGAATCCCTCTCACGGATACACACAATTCCCTCCGTCCCAGTTGTGGATTGCTTCCAGAAGATCCGTCAACAAGTCAAATGTTATCACCAAATGGCAACAGCTACAGGAATGGGCAAAAATGAACTGCAGGGAGTAAGTAGATAATTTTGTTTGATCATCACTGTATTGTTACTGTATTTGAAAAATTTTGGGATGCGGTATGCTTTGGATAAAATGTTGCATTACGTCAAGGTTCTGTGATGTAACAAGAGTTGTTCAATGTATGTGTGATTGAACAAGGTGAGCGCCATGCTTGTGGTGTCATGCCTTCCCAGTTCTCTGTCATATGACATTTTGAAACTATTGACAGTTTTGGCATCCACACCTTCTCACTTGTTCCAACCATCTACCACTTTTGTTTCCCAAAGAGAATTTTCTAATTTGTTTCAGCAACTTTATTTCCTTAGCGTGTCTGTGACCCGCCTATTTTTGAAGATGCATGTTTCCAGAATTCTTCTTTGCCAATATTGTTGATTCCTGTTAATATTTTGTATGTAGTGATCATATCACCTCTTTTTCTTCTATCTTTGGTATATTTCTTCTATATCTTTGGTATATATAGTACCTTTAGCCTCTCCTCATAGCCCTTGTTCAGAAAATTATTTTTCTTTCTAATATAACACTTTCGCATTCCAATGATAGATTTTAACATCATCTGTACTCTGACAGTAAACTTTCCAATTAAGCTAAAACACATCATCCAATTGCTATTTGTGAACATTCATATATTCATCACTGTCATGCAAAATCTATTATCAATTCAATTTTATTTGTGCATCTATTCTTTAGAGAATTCACTTGCAGACATTTTGACACCATAGTTATATATCAAGAAATAACAGAGAAAACATCAAATGATTATAAACATTTTAAGCATTACTAAGTGTGACTATTGAGTGCACATGGTTTATGTTCTGCAATATGCAGAGAGGATAAAAATCTATTATAAATATACTTTTGGTTTGATATCTATTCACAAGACTTCCTATTCATTTGCGAACATCTTGACACTAAATTTAGTATAAATCAACAAATTTAGAAAACGTTAAATGATTGTAAACAAAATTTGCATCACAGAGTTACCCACAATCTGCCTGGAGCCCTGAACGTTTACAGTCTGGAGTGCTCGGTGAAGCTGGACTGCTAAAGTATTAAAATGCATTCCCTGATTGCTGTTACCAGGATGTTGGACACCCCTCGAACATGAACGGCCAGGAGAGCCAAACCCTGAGAACTCAGCAGACAAGTCACCCAAAGCGGCCATCTCTTGATATTGAGCAGGCACTTGGTGTCTCGACGGTTGCTCGAGCAGATGTGCAGGAGCCTGAACCTCACCCTTCTTGCTTTCTTCTGGGCAGAGTTTGGCTTTGGAGGCTGTTCGTTTTTTTTTTTTTTTGGAGGGGGGGGACAACCTCTTTTGCTGTTCTCACAGTCGCTGGGTGTGGAATCTGGGGATCCCATCCCTGGCTGCTGCGTCACCGGCTTCCCCTTCTGTTTTTTTTAGGATTTGATTCCATGGGGAGCCGGTCAGCCGAGTGGACAGCACACTGGACTTGTGATCCTGTGGTCCCGGGTTCGATCCCGGGCGCCGACGAGAAACAATGGGCAGAGTTTCTTTCACCCTATGCCCCTGTTACCTAGCAGTAAAATAGGTACCTGGGTGTTAGCCAGCTGTCACGGGCTGCTTCCTGGGGTGGAGGCCTGGTCAAGGACCGGGCCGTGGGGACACAAAACAAAAAAAAAGCCCGAAATCATCTCAAGATAACCTCAAGATGACGCCTTCCTCCGCTCACACTTGACACCTTCATGGATGTCTCGGCTATCTGCTGAGGTTTTGTAACCAGCGCTCACCAGTCCTGCCAGGATCAATTGTCTCCGACCGTTTGTTTGGCTCACAGTATGTTATGGTTTGCAAGTTGGAGGCTATGAGGCAGGTGCTGCAGAAGGTTTAGATTCCACTGGGCTTTGTAATACCTTACCTTGAGGTGATTTTTGATCACCTCATCTCATGATGAAGATGATCACCTCATCCATCTTGATTTGATTTTTGATCGTGATCCGGTTCCATTTAGACTATTCCCCAGTGGTTCAATATTTCAATAGAAATATGGCATGTTATGCCATATTTAACATCTTATGGCAAACATGTTACCTCCATACATCACGACATGAGAAAATTCACTTTCGCAAACAGAGTGGTAGAACAAGTTAGGTGAGAAGGTGGTGGAGGCCAAGACCGTCAGTAGTTTCAAAGCGTTATATGACAAAGAGAGCTGGGAAGACGGGACACCACGAGCGTAGCTCTCATCCTGTAACTACACTTAGGTAATTACACTTAGGTAATTACATCAAAATGAATCAAAAGTCCAGAAAATATCTTGCAAAGGTTTATTTAAAAAAAAAATTATGTAAATAGTAATATCTAGCAATTACTATATAAACTCTTGATACCTACCTTTCCTCTTCTTAGAGCTGGTCTCTTCAAATAGCTCGTCTGCTGGGTTCTCGGGGTTTGGCTTTCTGTACCATTCAAGTTCAGGGAGTGTCCGACCTCCTGGCCGATGGCCTGTCCTGGTTTGTTCCTGTCTCCTCGGAATGGACTGCTGATGCCTCCTCATTCCTGTGGCTTTGTTGAACGCTCAGAGGCCTGTTCATCGATCTCTTCATGTCGGCATGGTCTCGGTGTCTTCCTCTATATGCAGTGCTATTCCCTAACAGTGAGGCCCTAGTTGTAGATGCCTTTCAGCTAGACTGGTCGAGATGGGGTTATATATCAGTACCTCTTTCCCTCATGTTATCTTTTGCTTCATGTTCTGACACATTTGGAGTCCTCCAGGGGAAGGGGGATCCTTCAGACACCTTGGTGGCTGGCTCAGGCTTAATTTCAATCTCTGCTTGTTTGATGTTGGAACCCGGGCATTTTTCCATGGCTCCGCCTCTTTCAGAGGGTAAGACCAGTGACATTCTTCGCTGGTTGGACCTTTTCTGCTCTTGGTGTTTGCTGTTTTTTTATATGAATGTATCACCTCTTTGGTGATCAGGTGACTGGTTTAATGATGTCCCACCTGTTGTCTTCCTTCCAGCGACAGTAGGAGGTGTCATGGTATGCCTTCTGCTCTTATCTGTATTTTCATTATTGTTTCTCAGTTTCTGGTCATTTGTTTACATTGTTGGGTGAGCCCTTTTGCTATTTTGACCCTGCAGTTTCATCTCTAACCAATTTTCACAGACCTTATAGGTGCCTTGTCTTGGTAGTGGTGGTGGCAGTCATGGATAAATTTAAAAAAAAAAATTCATAGTGCCTCTACTCTCTGCACCTCTCATAGGGGTCAGGTTCTGACTTGTGGTTCCTGCTAGGCCAATGAGAACTGTGACTAATGGCACCATGTCCTACGACTGAGACATGGAAAGTTAGAAAATTAGTATAGAATAAAATATGTTGAGTTGGAAAACACCTTTTGTTTCTGCTTCCTTTCCTGACCTTAAATAAATGAACTAGTTAGTTGTTTATATTAGTTCTGATAAAAATTCAAAAATATTAATTTTGTCATTAACCATCCATATTTATTTCAACAGGGACTGGAGGTGATTGAATCAACTAATTTGAAATTTTTCAACAAGGATATGACAGCAGAATTTTATGCCCTTAAGGGTATGTTCTTATCTCAACTAGGTAAGTGAGGGCTGAAAAATTTTTACACTTTATTTCACATTAACTCATTGCTGCATGTGCACTTTGGTTCTACAGGACCTGTTGTAATAATCTTTCTGGCACATTGCAGGCATCAATTCAACACAAAAACTCTTAAAAGTCATGAATTTTCATTGTTATATACAGTATTTATTTTAAAAGATCACTCTGGGTGTAAAAAAATGTTCTGTTATACAGGTCATACATGCATGTTATTAAGCCTATTAAATTTCACTATTTATTTATTTTTCAATGCTAAAACATTCATAATTCATGGTCAGGTCGCAGTGAGGAAGCTAACAAAGCACTGAGTGCAGCTGTCCAGCTTCATGATACATTGGTGAAAGCCTGGGCTCTTTGGGGAGACTATTTGGAAGCTTTGTTTACCCGTGATCCAACGCACACCAACCTTGGGGTGTTTGCCATAACATGTTACCTCCATGCATCACGACATCAAAATGAATCAAAGTCCAGAAAATATCTTGCAAAGGTTTGTTTATTTTTAAAATTGTATGTAAATAGTAATATCTAGCAATTATTGTATAAACTCTTGATACCTAACCCATGTACTACTACACATCCATTTAATGTGACAACCCCATAGTGCATGGAAAAGGAATTCTCTCCAACTTTTTTCTTTCTAGTACTGTTAAAATGCATTCTCTGGTCATGAAAAAAAAAATTATGTGACTGCCTGTGATGGTGCGATGAAGTTTTATAATTTACAGGCGCCTAGTGATTTGTCGCTTAGAGGCACTTGTCTCGGCAACTGCGTGGGGGGAGTTACTGCAAAGATATTTTTACATAATTATATAAATGTCTGATTTAGTTTTCTAATTTTCTGAGGGGGGTGGGGAGCCTTGCAGCTCCCTGAAGCTGCTGTCTCTGATAGTGTGCCATACTACTAGATCCCATCAGTCACAGAGTTCTCTGACCTACCAGTGACTAAGAATCAGAATCTAGCCTCCTCATGAAGACATATGGAGCAGTGGCATTTCTGTAGGGTGCCCCATCGGCTCCCTGAAGCTGCCATCACTGATTAAGTGCCATACTAACTAGTGTCAACAGTTGCAGAGTTCTTTTTGCCTACCGGGAACCACGCACCAAAACCTGGCCCCCCTCAGACAGGTGTAGAGAGCAGTTGCCTATGATCACTTTACATTTAAAGGATATCACATCTTTGACATCACCAGAGAAGGCACTCAGAAAGATAGGTGAATCAAAACAAAACACTGCCTGGTTTAAAAATGTGATCAAAGTCCCAAAAATGCCAAAAGAACCCCCAGTAATAAAAGAAACAACCAAAACATTGTGAGACTAGATCCCCCCACTAGTTAACTCCACTTCCCCCTCGTTGGGGGAATGGCCAGGCTAATCAGGTTCAGTTCTTTACTGATGTGTTTACCTGGTGGTCGCATTGCTCTGGCTCCTCTTTCCTGTTTTCCTTGGCATCTTTTTCATTTTAGGCAGTGTTTCTGGGAGGAGCCCCGTCAGCTCCCAGGAGCTATCCAGGCTGAATGGATATGTATATCTGTCTGGCATCAGTCAATACATGGAGTTCTTGCCTACTGGGGACCACGAGCCAGAACCTGGCCCCCTGTAGAGAGGCACGAGGAGCAATGGCCTATAGAGACCCCCCCCGCGTGGTTGGGAGCATTCAATGTCTGCCATTGACCAGGACACACCCAGAAAGGTAGGCGCCCCAAAACAAACCCCTATTCTGGTAAAACTATTGCGACCGAAGGCCAAACAAGTGGACAGAACTCTCCAATCGAAAATTAGCAAACTAGCATGACGTCATCATGTCGCCGTGCCGCTGTCTGCGCAACCCCTTCCCGGGAGGGGAAAGGGGGAGCCCCAGACCTACCCGCCGGCAACCAAACCCTCAGTTCTTTGGCTTGATGTCAAAAAGCGCGAAAGACACCGCTGACCGGAGGAAGGGCTGGATGCTGGGAGCCTCCGCGAATCACCCAGAAAATGGCGTTACATTACATTCAATGCTGGTTTTCTGGGGGAAGCCCCGTCGGCTACCCGGAGCTACCTCACCACAGATAAGAAAAAGAGGGAAGGATCCAGGAGGCGGACACCATGCACTTTAACATAAAAACAAGATCACAGATGAAAAGAAAGGACCTTGCCAACGACCCGGGAGACCCGAACCCCAGAATAGGAAGGAGGGAACTAAGGGAACCCAGGCAAACCAAAATGCATCCACAGCCCCAGAGGCCAAGACACACACAGAACAGCGAAGAGCTGCAACCGAACAGCAAAGGAAGCACCCCCGGTCTGACCAACCAAGCAGCATCCCAAGAACTCCTCCGGAAAGCAACATGATTCATCATGTTGCTTGGGTGACAAACATCACCCAAGAAGGAGACTGCATCAAAAGAACAACCTTTTCTGCATTAAAAGAACAACTGAGCGGCGCGGCGACGTGTGACGTCATGGTCGTTTGATCGTTTTTTTTAGGGGAGTTCTATCCACTTGTTCAGCTTGTGGTAGCAATACTTTACCAGAATATAGGTTTGTTTTGGAATGCTTACCTTCCTGGGTGCCTGACCCAGTCGATAGCAGACATAGAATGCTTCAAGCCACACTGGGGTTTCTATAGGCCATTGCTCCCCATGCCTCTCTGAAGGGGGGCCAGGTTCTGACTCGTGGTCCCCGGTAGGCCCACAGAACTCCATACACATACATGACTGATGCCAAAGTCTGATATTAGCATATCAGCCTAGTAAGCTCCGGGGATCATCCGGGTCTCACCCAGAAAATGGCGTTTCATTACATTCAACGCTGGTTTTTTTCTGGAGGCTCTTTCTCATGGGGTAGCAGATTGCCACCCTCTCCTTGCACCTCTGTGAGGTAGGGCCAGGTTCTGGCTCTGGCTTCCCGTAGGCCATACAGAACTTCCATGACTGAATCAACCTTTTAGTATGAAGCTTGGTATGATAGCAACAGGAAGCCATGGAGGCTCCTCCAGAAAACCAGCGTTGAATATAATTAAACGCCATTTTCTGGGTGAGACACAAAGGCTCCCCGAAGCTATACCGGGCTGATGTGTATATATTAGACCGTGGCAACAGTCAATCGAAGGAGTTCTATGCCTACCAGGGACCAGAGCCAGAACCTGGCCCCCTCAAAAGAAGCACGAGGAGCAATGGCCTAAAGACCCCCCCCCCCCTGTGTAATTGAAAGCAGTCTTTGTCTGCCATCTACCAGGTCAGGCACCTAGAAAGGAAGGAATTTTAAAACAAACTACTGCTGGTCAAAACTTGCAAACCGATAGCCGAAATAGCAAACAGAACTCACCAATCAAAAACCAGGAAACAAACGTGATGTCACCACAAACCGCCGTGCATCTGTCTGTGCAACCCCCCCCCCCCTCCCTGGGAGGGGGATGGGGGGTCCCAGACCTCCACGCCTGAAACTTTCACCAGTTCAGAGGCTGAATATCAAAAATGCAAAAAAAATGCCGACCGGAGGGAGGCAGGGATGCCGGGGAGCCTCCGGGTCTCACACAGAAAATAGCGTTTCATTACATTCAACGCTGGTTTTCTGTGGAGAGCATCTTTGGCTCCCCGAAGCTACCTAACCAAAGATAAGGAAAAGAGGGACTCACACAGTAGGCGGTCGTCACTCGCTCCTCAACTCAAAGTCGAGACAACTGGCGGCAACCTGCTTCCCAAGGTTATACACGCCCGAGAAGAACATTAACAAGGTAACGTGCAGCCAGGACCCTAATCAACCTCCAAAAGCCCTGTGCCCGAAGATAGGCCAGAACATATCACTAAAACAGCAGCCGAACTCTGAACTACGAACGACGTGGGCACGGGAAAAGACCGCAGGCTGGCTGGACCAAATAATCCTGCGGACAACCTGGGAAAAGGGAGACTGGGTCAACCCAAAGCATGTCCTCTGCCACAGAGGCTGTGGCACGCAAATAACGGTGAAGAGCCACAGACAAAACATGATGCATCCCTGGCCGAACCAACCAAGCATCAACAACCCAAGGACCCCTTTGGAAAGCACCAGACTCATTCTTCGCCAGAAAAGAAGGAGACGGCTGCAAACTAAGAAAAGACCACCAGGACCGAAAGAGCAGAATCCCCTAGTCGGAGGAGAGCATGAAGCTCCCCGACCCGACCCCCAGAGGCCAAGCTGACAAGAAAAAAGCTAGATAAAAACAGTCCTTAACCGAGGGGACCACCACAAAGCAAGGAGAAGAGAGAAAAAAGAGCACCCAGTCCAACGACCAGGACGGTTCAGGCGGAGCATGAGCAGGCCGTTGGTGAAACAAGGCCCGAGAAAGCTTGCGGAACAGAGCAGAAGTGACATCCACCCCAAATATAAGCTGCAGCTGCTCCGCCAGCGCCGCACGATACAAAGCGATAGTATTTGACATAAGATGATGGTCCTGAACAACTAAGAGAGCAAAAGGACAAAAATACGCGATCAGAAATCGAAAACAACCAGACAACCTACGACGAGACAAAAATTGTTGAAAAGACCGCCAGGAAATTTTTAATACTGTCATCTATATGAAACTGACAGGTTTCCTGTCAGTTTCAAAAGACCAGACGTGAAGAGTGGAGGAGAAGATCAAACCAGCCACATACCAGACCGACAGAGCACAGGAGAAGAGGCCTGCCCTGCCAGCCCCAATTCCCCCGAAGGAGGACGAGTGACCCAACACCACCGCAGGCTGGAGGAAACAACCCGAAATGCCCATGAATCGTGGGACCAGGCGAGAGCAAACAGCGCGAGCCTCCCCCCATCACCCTGTCAATGGGGCAACCTGCAAAACAGCCAAAGACCCCTACAAGAGCCCGACCAACTCACAGAGCGATCTCTGCGCCGACCAGACGCCGATGGCTCCACAGGAGGTGCCAGTCCCGAATCTGACACTACTAACTTATGACAACTGAGGGAACCCCAAGACCTGGCACGACCCTTCCGGATAGTACCACCACGGCCCCCCCAGAGAACCAACAAGTCCGACATAAGCCGGCAACTAGACGAAGCCACTTGCAGAAAATGTACCACCGCAGACTGCAAACAGCAAAGGACAAAAAAGGGGACAGCAATCTTAAGAGCTAGGGCTCAAACCGATTCCAAAGAGTGGACGAGCACCGCCTGTCAGCACACGAGGCGAGAAGCAAAGAACAGAGATACTGCATCCCTCAGAATCGGCGCAAACAACTTCAACAAGGTAGCCAACGCCCGAGCCACCGAAGCAAACATACCGGACACCGGCCCAGATCCCAGTGCCTGTACATCCTAGCCAAGCCAGTCTGAAGACAGCTCCAGCAGAGAAAAGAAACGCAAGGCCGAAGCCGACTGCCCACGGGTGCACAAATCCTCAGCCACCATGGACACCGAAAGAGAGGGAACCTGCACCTGACAGACATCACGAGGAAGTACGGGAGCGAACAAGCACACATTGAGGTGCTCCAACTCACCCCCCAGGTAAACCTGAACAACCGCAGTCAACTCCCGCCTTTCATGTGCGTGGTCCGACAGAACGAATGCCAAGGTCCTAACGAAATAAAAGGCAGTCTGCCAGCCAGGAAGACTCGGCACCTTGTAACGCACCCAAAAAGGAAAAAAAAGAGCCAAACTCAAGAGAAGAAGGCTTCATTGTCGAGGCATAATCCAGGTCTCGCAGTAGGTAAGCCGCAAGGGCCTCCCACACCTTCCTCGGTGGGATGCGGGAAGCCAAAAAACCTCCGGAAGGAGGGAACTGAAGAACCCAAGGGAACTTAGAACCGAACCCGAGGAGGAGTTGAACTGATAACAAAATCGTACAGGGAAGGGGATAGGAAAACCCCTCCCCCGTGTAAGAACAAGCCCCATGCCGAGGGTACCAAACACCCAAGCAGGGACAAGTGGGGCCCAGGCCTCCCCAAGTCAACTCCTCCCCAGCCCCAGAATCCTCCACATCAGGACCCGGGGGCCGAGCCGTCCTCCAAACCCTCTTCCTCTGGAGAAAAAGCAGAGTCCACCGGAAAAGCGGGGATGAAGGGGGCCCTCTGGCATGACCCAAAAGCTCCAGCAGGAGGAACAGGCTCAAATGCCTCCACCGCCGATCCGTAAGGGGCAATCCCCGAAGCTGCCCGAGTCTCACTACCAGTATAATTCAGCGGGGCATCTGGAAAGGCAACCAACCTCGCACGTTGCTGTAACCTAAACCTCGCATGCAACGCTAAAGCTGCCTGCACCCAATTATCAGTCTCAGTGGACTGTGTGAATAGAGCACAAGCAAAGAACACCACTCGCAGGACTCCGGGTCATGGGTGTCACTGACCCCAACAGGCAGCAAAGTGGAGGCAGACGGTGAGTGTCACCCTGAGACAAGGAGACAGAGCAACCTTCAAACTCGCACAAGACGAGGTGGAACTCAGAGGTTTCCTCCACAGGACCACTGAGCCCCAATGGGGGTTTCCAGGGCCCTTAGGCTGACTGCTAAGGGAAGCCCAGGCGAGGTACTGCTAACCGGTTATCCCAGAGATACCAACTAAACAAACTAAATGCTGAACCCCTGCGATGTGTGCAAGCACGGGGACCTAGTGGAGGGCCACCAAAATCCTACGAGCGGTCCTATCGCCACACCGGGCAAATCAAAACAAAAATAAAAGAAAAACCCCGCAAAAGTACAACGTTTCCAGGTGAACAGAATCAGTCGCTATGTGTATATCAGACAGCTGCCCAGTACCTCGCGCCCCAGCCAGCGACGAAACTACCTCCTACCCAAGAGAAAACGGGTAAGAACCGCCCCAGCTGAACCCCAAGGGCGGGCAATCACAGAGCAGCTACAGAACCACAGGGAGGTAGGTAGCTTCTCCTGAACAGCTCAGGGAAGATAACCCTGAAGCCGCAAAGGCAGTACTTACGGGACATCTAGGGAAGGTAGCCCTAGATGCATGCAGCCCTAGTACTCTTGTATTACTCCTGACTCACACACCACCAATACAGAGCAACAACACCGCTAAGCAGGACTGCACAGAGTGGAGACAAAGTCGATCAACCGTTCGCCATCACAACAGCCTTTGAACTGAGGAGAGTTGCCGGCGTGGAGGTCTGGGATCGCCCCGTTCCCCTCCTGGTGAGGGGGGGGGTTGCACAGACGGATGCGTGGCGGTTTGTGGTAACATCATGTTTGTTTCCTGGTTTTTGATTGGGGAGTTCTGTTTGCTATTTCGGCTTTCGGTTTGAAATTTTTGACCAGCAGTAGTTTGTTTTGAAATTCCTACCTTTCTGGGTAACTGACCTGGTAGATTGCAGACAAACACTGTTTCCAATTACACGAGAGTGTCTTTAGGGCATTGCTCCTCGTGCCTCTCTTGAGGGGGGCCAGGTTCTGGGTCTGGTCCCCAATAGGCTTAGAACTCCTTCGATTGACTGTTGCCACAGTCTAATATATATACACGTCAACTCGGTATAGCTCCAGGAAGCTGACAAGGCTCTCCACAAAAAGAGGCATTTTGGTACAATCAACACTGGGATATTTGGATATACAGTACAGTGTATATACCATGTACTTTATCAGAGATAACTACCTTACAAGATATGTATTATGTAGGTATGTATAAAGGTATTAAGTAGATATGTATTATCTATAAATATCAGAATGATCAGGTAGGAATATGACACAAGCAAAAGAAATTACCTGAATATAATGAAAAATGTGTTTTACAGAGGAAAGGGGAATGATGGCTAAGATTCTAATGCAGTAGGTTAGTGATGACATTTGGAGAGCAGAACTAGTGTAAATGACAAAGAAATTCTGCTTGAGACCATATACAGTGGCACCTCGACATACGATTGCCCCTACTTACGATAATTTCGAGTTACGATGTAAATTTCATCGAAAAATGTGACTCGACATCCGATGGTGTCTTCGACTTCCAATATTTGTTGGTACATGTTCGGGTCGACCGAGGACGTGGTTCCCGGTCACGCGGCCGACCTGCTTCAGTTTACTACAGCTGCCCGTTTAGTGACGATCATGCCTATAAGAAATTCTGCTTCTGCGGTGATTTTTTGCATTTTGAACATTAAAGTAATTATTATATATCACGCCATGAGTCCCAGGAAAGTCAGTGGTAAGGCTCAACATATGAAAACCCATGTAAGGATGACCATAGAGCAGAAACAAGAGTACAGAATGTCTCTTCCTCAACAATTAAGAAAATGTGTGCAGCATGGGAAGAATTGCAAACCTTTGCTGAAACGACTCACCCAAATCAAGCTGCAGTAGGTCGTTGCCTTAACCTATTCAATGACATTGTGATGCATCATTACAGACAAATGTTAAAACGAAGGGAAAAACAAATGTCTTCTGACAAATTTGAAGTGAGACAAACAAGCACTGAACCACAACCAGGTCCTAGTGGTATTCAGGCAAAACATAGGAGAGAGAGAGTACCCCAGAGAAAACATCACTGCCTGATGTGATAATGGAAGGGGACTCCCTTTCCAAACAGTAACAACTCTCCTCCCCCTCATCACCATCTTCCATAAGCCATCAAGAGCCCTCCATAAAGGTAAGAGAAACTTTGGTACTGTATTGTAGTTAGAAAAAAACATTGTATTCAGTATAAAATGTATTTGTATGTTAATATTTTGGAGGGTGGGGAACGGATTAATTCAATTCCCTTTATTTCTTATGGGAAAAATCGCTTCGACTTAAGATATTTCGACTTACGATCCGTCTCTGGGAACGGATTAGCATCGTAAGTCGAGGCCCCATTGTATTATGAAATCTACATGAAGAATAGATCCATCAGCAATGTCAGACCTAGTGTTTATGCGAAGTGAGGCTAACATTAAGAAAATACATAATGAGTTGCCTTTAAGAGCCAGCAACCATTTAGTTTTATTACTCGATTACGTAGTATAGCTGATAGGGCAAATCATGTGCTGGACTATAGATAGGCAAGAGTTGGAAAATTAAATGAGCTTGAGATATATGAAAAAACACATGTACACGATGAAGATGGAAAGCAAGTAAAATGGAGAGTAAAAAGTAGTTGAAGTCGGCTCCATCCACAAATTAAATAGGTAACATGATGAAGAAATTGAATACCATGAAATTTAACAATAGTTTACAGTTAGCTATCAAGCATGACCCAAATATCAAGCATGACCCAAAGAGCTAGATCTCACCTCATGTGGACAATATATTGGCATGTCTTGACCTGCCACCATAAGAAACATTGTTGAAACAAAAGTTGAAGCTTTCCAGAGGGAACTTCAAAATTTTCTGCAAGAATTATTGAGTGGGATGGATTATGATAGTTTTAGGAACCTTTGGGCATTTAACACAAAGTCTCACTACCAAACAATTGCCAATTGGAGCCCTGCTTTAAATCTGTGAAATGAAGAGTTTCCAATTAATATTGTGGCCTAGAAACATTCATAAATTTATTGATAACAGTGGTTATCTTGAGGTTATCTTGAGATGATTTCGGGGCTTTTAGTGTCCCCGCGGCCCGGTCCTCGACCAGGCCTCCACCCCCAGGAAGCAGCCTGTGATAGCTGACTAACACCCAGGTACCTAATTTACTGCTAGGTAACAGGGGCATAGGGTGAAAGAAACTCTGCCCATTGTTTCTTGCCGGCGCCTGGGATCGAACCCAGGACCACAGGATCACAAGTCCCGCGTGCTGTCCGCTCGGCCGACCGGCTCCCCTCTAGGGAGAGGGGAGCCGGTAGGGAGAGTTTAAAAAAAAAAAAAATTTTATCAAAGGGCGAGACTGCATGGTGGAACAGAAAGTGTTAATAATTGTAGTAATTTATCTTCCCTATTAAAAATTACATTCATATTACATTAGGTACTATGGCTGCTGAGTTACGATGATGATGCAGGAAGCTTGAGTGAAGCTGTGGACCGGTATTGTGTGGGAGTGCCAGCCATACAGTGGCTTCCATGGATACCACAGCTGCTCACCTGCTTGGTACGTCCTGAAGGCAAGGTGAGTACTCCAATAAGTAACAATCTTTCTTTTACATAAAAATATTTCTATTTCTTTTGCTCGCTGACCTCTTTCAGTGTTCAAAAGAGAACTTGATAATCACCTTCATAGGATATCTGATCAACCAGGCTGTGACTCATATGTCAGGCTGCAAACAGCCGCATTGAACAGCCTTGTTAACCAGACCAACAACCGGAATCATCGACTGGTAGGTATACGAACATTTAATGGCTTCCTTGAGCTAAAGGCACTGATTGAGAAGGACTAGTAACTATCAACTTATGAGCTGGAACTTATCTACTTTAAACTTATCTACTTTATCTACTACCACATTATTTTCTGTGGCTCAAAAGAAAATTGAAGATGGAGTTCATGACAGTGAATATGGTCGTTCTACATTCTGGATTTCAAACTCCTAGTTCAACCTTGACGACGAGCAGACGTCTGGACAACTCTTCCACCTGGGAGCCACCAGATCACGTTCTGTTTTCGTGATTTTGGATTTGATACTGCTGTTTAGCATCCCTTTTCAACGGTGCTGTTTGTACGATGCCTGGCGCACATATTGCCTTGGGTCACAGGATCGTTGATAGATTTTTAATGTTTTCTGGCTGGTTCTTCGGGCAAGGATGTCGGATATGCTTTGACTTGGGCGAGGATGTCGGATATGCTTCGATTCGAATGTGACAATGACCGGTGCAGGTTTTGCCGAGAGATGCCAGGAGTTGGTGGGTCTTGGTGGGCTCCTGATGTGCCTTCAGCTGCGGGGTGCGGCTGGCTTCTGCTTTGCCGGGTGGCACTGGATGACTTTTGCATTTTAGTTGGGGGCTGAGTATTTGGTTTTGCCACCCAGTGTTCTCTGTGTGGAGTGGGTCGGTGCTCGTCACCCTGAGGGACTCCTAGGGCTCCCCAATTATCTGCCTGTCATTTGGTTTTACGATTAACCAGATATGGGTACGCCGGGGCACATCCGATCCTACGAGCTTCGTCACCCCTAAATCAACAACATTATTATGGATTTCCTTTAACCCTTAACACTTTCGCGCTTTATATTAGAGATAACTCGTCACTGGTTTTTCTTACGATTCCGCATAACTGCCTACTTTTCTCGTCAATCGAAGAAATATTTCTATAAATTCCATTTTTTAACCGAAATGGATGGGGATACTTTTGTTTTGTGGAGAATTTATTTGCGAATTTTTTGGTACCAGAATGAATATTATATCACATAAACTTCTATGAGTAAAAAAAAAAATACACAAAGTATGTTTGGGGGTGTGGCGAGCGTGTGGCAGTGGGTTCCGTTTAGCCGTTGATATATCCAACACGTGGGAAATATTTGTATGTGTTATGTATATGTCTGTGTAGGGAATTTTACTGCGATCACTGTCATACAAATTATAAAATGTTTCAACAAGTATAAACATGACAAACATCAAACGAACGAAAACAATGCGTTCGTTTCTGCCGCGAACGCATACTGAGCGACGTGGTTCTATATTTGGCGCTTCTCTTACACATGCTTTGTACAAATGTTATACAGTTCATCTTATAGAAAATTTTATTGCGAACACATTGGTATAAAAAAGAAATACGTACATAGAAAAGTAGGGTCAGGAAACGTATAAACTTTCCAAGCATGATTTCCCACCTGTGTTTTCGCCAGTGCGCTCGCGGCTAACTACTCTCCACTTCACACACTCTTGCGGGTGGGCAATTACCTATATTAAACATTCATATGCATATGTCCATGTAGAGAATTTTATTGCGATTCCAATGATACCAAAATTAGCGATGTAGGACAACTGTAGGCTTCGCAACCATTAAGAGAGTGGAAACATTTTGTTGCTGTTTGGCGCTCTCGGCGAGTGATCTGCATAGTTTTTTATTTGGTGTTGATACTCCTTATGCTTGGGCGGCATTTTATAGGTATGCTCTTATAGACAATTTCATTGCGAACACAGTGATACCAAATTTAAATACGTGCGCCTTCAATTATTGTCAGGACAGTCAAAAAAGTGTACACTTTTTCGGTCTTACCGCGTAGGCGCGCGAAGTGCCGAAAGCATCTGGGGTATTTTTTTTTTTGAGCGCCGAGAGCGCGAAAGTGTTAACATGCTCGGGGTCTAATATCCTGCCATCCGCACAGGCGCATGTCATTTTGAAAAAAAAAAAAAAATTTTTTTTTTTTTTTTTGCTAATCTGTTAAGTTCTGTTCACTGATCACGGGAAAAATAAAAAAAAATTCTATTGTACTTACTTTTGTTGCAATAGAGCCGAAAAGCTCGGTGATGACGTCACAATCTGCATGTTCGCTCATGCAGTACGCGCCCGGGAGGTGTTGCGTGCGGTCCTCAAACAGCCAGAGTTGCCACAAATATATTTTCGCGCTATTTATTTACAATGTCTAAGCGCATTTTATCTAAATTTTTTTCACTAATTGGGTTTCAAATACTGTTTGAACATATTTTGTATCAATAATTGTTGCATATTTGAGTATACACAGGCGCACACGAATGTTTTCAATTACGGCAATATAATATGTCATTACAGTCTATTATATTGTATGTTCTGCTTATATTTGTATATATTTACACACACGCACACGCTATCTGCTTATATGTTTACATATTTACACACTCACACACGCTATACACACTTTGAAGCACACTTAGAAGTTTTCTAGACTGTGGTAGTCATTGAAGCAGTCGACAGCACATAATGGGATACCACACGTTTCACACCATGTTTGCACAAGCTTCTGTTTCTTGTCTCTACGTGTCGTTGTTTTACACACCAAGCAATCACGTTGGGCTATTGCACGCTTCCCAGCTGGTGGCAAATACTTAAGTTTGTGTGCTAGGAAGCCTTCAGTGTGAGCGAGGCGTGGAGTACCAGCATGCTGCAACAGTGGGTTTATGATGGGCCACTGAATACCTGGGACATCTTTTGCAAACTTTCCTAATAACTGTATTGCAGCATCAAATACAAAGTCACGGAAAGTGGGCTTACGTCCAGTTCTCACAAGGTACATGTTGAAACAGTTCAGCATGCTCATGTCCACAAGATGGAAGAACACTTTTTTCGTCCACCTACATGTCTTCCGCACACACTCTGCAGTGCCAATCATCATGTCTGATTTATCAATCAACCGCATGTTGATATTATAGTCTAAAACACAGTCTGGCTTATATAGTGGTGCGTTTGTTTTATGGCTCACTTTCCCACTGTTCACCATTGTTCCATCATGAATTGTTGTCAACAAGTTCACCTCTCTTTTGTCTTTCCACCGAACTGACAGAATGTTATCACTTTTCCTTCTCTGACACTCACCAACTGCAATGTCGTTGTCAAACACAGGCATTTCCCTTCGTTGTGGCTTTACTGTACCAACCAATCCGGTTCTATTTTCTAGCAAGAACCGAGCTAGCAAGGGACTTGTATAGTAATTATCTGTGTATAAAATGTGTCCCTTGTTCATCCACGGAGCCATGATGGTCTTCACTACACTCCCCGAGAATCCATGTTCGTCGTTACCGGGAATGTCTACATCACTAGCCGAGTACAGAATCATGTGTAACACGTATCCTGTCTCACAATCACAAAGAACAAAAAATTTCAGGCCAAATCGGTTTCGTTTTGAGGGAATGTACTGTTTGAATGGAACACGTCCCTTGAAAAGTACGAGAGATTCATCAACCACCAGCTTCTGTGCTGGTATGAAAAATCTCTGAATTTTCCAATAACATTGTTCATGTAGTGCCTCACTCGCCACAGTCTATCATCAGGTGTTCGGTCCTGAACACTTCCAAAATGTAGACACCTGAGGAGTATCTGAAACCTGTCTCGTGACATATATTTCCCGAATAAAGGTGTTGGTATTGTCTTGTCCTTGCTCCAATAGTCACTTATTGCATGTTTGTGACAGTGCTTCATCAACAAACAGAGTGCCAAAAACACATACATTTCCGCAACTGTGGTATTTTTCCAACGCTGCAGTCGTGAAGATTCTGTGATTTCCCTCTCAATCAGGTAAGCAGCATGCAGGTTCGTTTGGTGTACAATGTATTCCATGAGTGGTTCATCATAGAATGCTGTAAAATATTCCATCTCAGCCATGTCCTCACCTTGATTAGGGAAAAGGTTTGTAATCCCTACATCTTTATCGTCAAAGTGAGGAATATTAGGAATAAAATCGTCACCATCACTCCACTCAAGTACACCAGGCGTCCTGCGAGATGCAGAGGAAAGACGGCGAGGAAGCGATGCATACCGGCGACCAGGAGCTGAATACCGTCTGCGAGAAGCACGGCGGCTACGTGCACGTGAGGTGGGTGCACGTGAGGTGGGTGCACGTGAGGTGGGTGCACGTGAGGTGGGTGCACGTGAGGTGGATGCACGTGAACACGAGGGTCTTGGTCCCTCATGTGGTGCCATGCGGTGGCGCTTGGCCGGGCGAGATGCTGCTGACGCGACAATTTCTCGCCCAGTTACACCACTGGTACCAGCCACAGACTCAATAAAACTTTGATCTGAGTCACTAAACCCAGAAAAGGAGTCACCTCCCTCTGACTCGTCACCCTCAAGCAGAAAATATCCACAGGAACTGTGAAGTCGTGGTAGAATTGGGGTAGAAACTGGCCGAGGAGGCATGGTTGAGCGTAGAGGCCTCGCCATGGCATGGCGGTCATTCTCACTCTCACTGCTGCTGCTACTATCACCCGACAACTGTGTATAATCCTCATCGTTGTCTGAATCATCAAACACACTTTCTTCACCTTCAGAGAATAATTCGTGGGCTATTTGCTCTGGGGTGAGGGACTGAGTGGTGCGTGCCCGGGAGGCGTTTGACCGTGCGCTCGCCATGGTGACTCTCGCTAAACTGAGGCCTCCCATGCCTTCGGTTCGTGAGCGGGAATTTTTTTCAAAATGGCCGCTGTTTACTAGAGCCCATGGGCAGCGTATGGGACCCCCAGCTACACCGCGGGCCATTCAAATCG